CTTTTCTTTTCTCTTTTTTACTTGGAATATCGGCTCTGTTTCTTCTCCACTCCTCTTTCTAGCTTCTTGGGTTGCATTTTTTCAAAAAAGAGGGAGAGAGAGAGAGGAGGAGGGTCTCCAGTAGAGAGAAAAGAAGAGGAAAAAGTGGATTTTTGCTGCCTTTTCTTTCTGGTCTGACCAAGAAACCTGTTGTGATTTTTAAAAATCTTATCGGAGAGCAGGATGCTACTTGTTTTAAAAATCCTGGATTTTAAAACTTAGTCTTCTATTTCACTGATTGATTGATTTGCCTTTATTTTTATTTTTATTTTTTATTTTTTTGTTAAGGGAAAAGTATCCAAACCAGGCATCTCCTGCGAAGCAGAAGCAGAGAAATAACTTGAGGGGCAGCTTTTTTTCCTTTTCTTTTAAGAAACAAAACTTGGGATCAAGTTGACTATGTATGTTTTTAGTCATGGAGTTTCTGCCCCCCACCTTTCTTAATGTTTTTTTGGAGAGATTTTTTTTTTATATATGGGAAAAATTGATCTCTTGATTGAGAACCGGGTTTTTGAACTATACAGCACACAATTTGGAGAGGGCTTGTGAAAAATAATAATAAACTCTGCTCTTTCTTGCTCGCTCTCTTTCTTTTTGATGTGGAAATCAGGAATTGTTTTAATGCATTTCCCCCCTTGGTTTTAATTCTATCCTAGGCATGGCCGAATCCCAGAGAAGAAAGACCAAGCCAAACTTTGCTGGCTGACTCGATTTCTTTTTCTTTGCGAGACTGTGTGGACAGAGGAATACTGGGACAGTCCTTTCGAGATCACCAGGAGTCTGTCTACAGTGGCTGCTTCGTTTCCCAGATTCCCAAGTATCTTTCTCCCTTTGGACTGAAGGTTTTTCTTTATTTTTCCTGGCCTTTTTGGGAGATGACTTCTCTTCAGTGCCTATGAGGAGTTGGAGAAAGAGGTGAAGAAGTGGATAGACGGGGTTCACTTATGGAGGACTGAAAAAATACCCCATGCTCATCTGTTCCTTAAAGTCTCCAAACGGGTTGTGGAATCAAATCCTGGACACCCTTGTGAACACACCCAAGGGCTGATTTGCAATAGATAGACTTGACTGACTGGGATGTTTTTGGCCCATGTTTTTTAAAGAGCGATGGGGTCTTTGTGGAATGGAATGAATTAGGGGTGTGCGTTTTTTGGGGTGTTTGCATTTACATCACGAAGGAAGAAAAGACACATACACAAAAAAACCCACAGAAAACTGTGGGTTGGTAAGGGGGGGGAACCA